TTATAATCACATAACAGGCTTAATTTTTCAGGAAGCTGCGATCACTGCCTTTACCATACAACCATTAATATATAATCAGAATATGTCACTTAAACTAAAGAAGCTACTATATACAGCAATGAACCGCCCAATACTTTCCTATGCCTCACCTGCCTGGACAACGATACCTCAACATCTACTGAAGAAATTAAACCAGTGCCAAAACAAGATCCTTAGAAAAATAACCTGTGCAAGATGGTTCATCCGGAATACCAATATACATGCAGACCTCAAAATACCAACTCTATCACAGCATATATACAAGCTAANCTACTAATTTTCAACTCCGTAGCCTTGTAATTTTGAACCCCATTCAGAAGACAAGGGAACTCCTGGATCGAGTATTGGGAGAAATTTGCCTTCTTGGAGGACAATTTGATGGAACTAACCGCGTTTGTGTTACATGGAGAGGAAGACCACGAGAACCTCCCCACGGTAAGATTTACGGCAAGGGGACTCTAACCCATGATCCATCTACCACTAAGGATAATTCACGACATCACAGTGCTCGGTGCAAGCCGGATGCGGAATTCGCATCGACAGGGATTCGAACCCGGTTCGCCTCATTGGAAGGCGAATGCTCTATCCCCTAACTCATCGTGGCTCAGTTCTCATTATTTATCGAAATATGTCACCAAGTTTGGGTTCCAGTAATCTATAACCCTTTTTTAATAATTCTATGATATGCATAGTAAGAGATAGCCCTAATTAATATTTGGTCCGACGAGTTTAACTTTTAAAAACTTTTACATTGTTTTTTTTAAAGCATATTTATCTAACTTGATAACTGAATTAAACGGAACTAGATGCAGTTACGGATGATAACTTAAATCCTATACCGCAATGGTCTTTTCTTAACTTGCAACAGAGTATAGAAATATCTCCTAAATATACAAATACGTTTTGGTTGATAGGAGTTAATATGTTTAATACAAACTATTTGTTTCTTCCATCTTTCTCAATCATATTTGAACTATTTATTGGCTGTGTCAATCAACCTTATCTTACAGCTAGCATTTCTCCTTTTCGAAAATTCGTAGTCTTGGTTTCAGTATCACTTGAAGTAAGAGCAGAAAGTAAGGCGGTAGTATAATCATTTTCTTTATAATTAGTTTTCGTGAGATCTTATTACACTAAACTATAAACTATTTGCTTTTCTTGTGTTAAAAATAAACATTCCTATTTTTTTTTCTTTCCGTCTAAGTGATAGATGCTTTCATCCGTGCTTGAAGTTAATTATAGACAAAAAAAGGAAAAAAAAGGGTGACACTATTACTATTTTGTATTTTATCTGAGATAAAACTTTATTTTTACCGTTTTAAACATAACTTAGCACATTATTTTTAAAAATTATATAAAAGAAATATTACCAGTGCGGAAAGTTTTGATCACCTTTAAAAAAAAGATTGGTTTGTTAATTTTTTTTTAATATTGAAATAAACTTACACGCGTTATCTATAAACTTAGATTGAAACTTATGTATTATGATTTGCTTTGATCAGTTTCTTATTTCTTTTCAATTGCTAAGGGAAATTTTTAAACAGTTAATCCAAGGAATAAATATTAAAATTTTTAATATTGTTTTCACTGGAAGAAATGTTTTAGCTGAAATGGCGAAGTTGTCCGCAATGCAAAGTAAGTAGTAAAATAAAAATAAAAATGGAAAATGAGGGTGTTTGAGGTTGTAAAGGTCATGATCGGGGTGTGACACTCGTATTTTTTTAAGGGCCAAGGGGCCCTGAGTTGGAGACCTTTTGAAACCGGTCTTCTCAAGTTGGAATGTTCGAAAATAGTCGGTGATATACTTATTTGTTCGATTCATGATAATCATTCTTTATTTTTTTATAGCAAGAGGATAATCATTTTATTCTTAATTCTCAAATTCGCTGTTAACATTTGAGAAAGTCATGGGCTTTTTTACATGGTAGTTTGAACATCCCGACGTGTTTGTAGAGCATGGCTTACAAATAATAGAGACTATCTTGGGGCTTTATTTCCACTGTGAGTCATTTATTCTAAAATAAATAAAAGAAAAAATTTTATTATATACAATTTTTATCAATTTAAAAAATTTAAATCATTAAGAATTTTTTACTAAGGGTAACAATAATAATAACAATAATAGTTATAAATAAAATTCGAATAGCTGTCATCATAAATATAATAAAATTTTTAAAATATTCCACCTATTACATTCCATTATTATTAGCACCAGTTACATCGGTTATATTCACCTTGTTATGTATGTTTAAAATATTGTATTCTGTCAGTTAATAAGGTAAAGTTGAATATTTAAAAAATAATGAACAAAACAAAATAATTTAAATTATTAGTGCTTGTTGACCTTAAATTTTATTAAAAATTGTTAGACCATTTTGTCAGAGTAAAAACTAAACAGAATATTAACTCTCAAGAGGTAGGCCTCGACCTTGGCGTACATAGATTGGAGTCTCTCAAATATTAATACCTCCATGACATCAACCATACGCCAAATTAGTCATACCCCGTAAGACACGTAGTCTGAGAAATTTTAGACTTCACAGCACTAAGAGGCAGTGAGGGGATTCAAACTTATTACCCTGCATTCCCAGCCACTAGTGGTATTGATCTATGTGACCTGTATCAACAGAGAGCTGCTCTATGCCAATTGCTCAACCATCGTCGGGAGTCGAACCGATGGTCAGCGTCTTTGGGTACAGTAAAAATAAACACATGAAACAAATGATAAATATGAGTCTGTGTAATTTTAAATTTCCCGGTTTATTGAATTTTCGTGAGCAAATGTTATTATAGGGCACTGGGCCCATGTCCAAGAGTTCGCGGGTTCGATCATCGCCGGCCGAAGACTCCCTGTGTAGCAAAGGGTGACTGATGCTCGTTAAATCTGTCGAGTTGCAAAGTCAACGATGGTTATAAAATAAAATCACAAGAAGCGAAGCGAAACAGACGCAGTGAGAAAATTTTTTTAGAACTCCCCCCCCCNCCCCCCCCCCCCCCGTGATAATGAATTAAAAAAGTTTTAAGATTTCAAAAACAAATTGAGAAATAACAGACATTAATAGTCATAGTAATAATTAAAAAAAATATTTTATGCAATATATTTTATGGCACTTATAAATTAAAATAAAAATAAAGAAAATAAATTATAAAAACTAAAAAAAATTAAAGATAAAAATAAAGAAAGAAAAAAATTATTAAAGATTAAAAATAAAGAAAATAAAGAATAAAAAAATAATAATAAATAGAAAAAATTATTTAAAATAAGTAAATAAATATAAAAATACATTTCCGTGGATAACCATTCTCAACGTTTATAAAAAATGGAATTAACATGCTTCTTTTTCGCTCTGCCTTTTTCTGAATTTTCCTTTTTCTTACCTTACATTTCAACGAAAACTACTAATCAAAGAGTTTAATAATTTTTCGCTGACAAGCTCGATAAAAATCTTAAGAATATGATTTGTTAGGACTGAGTAAAAGCTCACTAATATTATAGCAAAAACTTTTCGATTTCAACAGGTTCTTAAAAATAAGTTGGTGCTGCCATCTTTAGAAGCTAAATCAAACTTTTTATGTCCTTTCTATTTAATTTATTTATTATTATTATTTTTGTTGCGATCACTGGACAAAACATTTTACAGGGTTCGTTTATACCCTTATCTCTTTTTGTGTGAGGACTTAAGAAAAGATAAATTTTCATTCAGTTCAGGTGCGTTTAAATGTTTGCACAAATAATGGAAATAAATTTGTATGATTATATTCTTTCGAAATATTTCTTAAATATATAATAATAATAATAGATGATGTTTATTAAATAAGAATTTTTATTGAATTGATAAAAAAATGATTTTTTTCAAAGAACAAGGAATTTCAAAAAATTATCTAACAATAATAATAACTTTTTTTATTGTCAATTTACAAGATGTAAGGCTGTTAGAAGATAGGAACGTCACGCTTATAGGCTTCACTGAATTGAAATAATTGTATGAAATTATTTAATTATCAATTCGTATGATATTATTTCTTTTTTTCCTAAGCTATGTAATTCGGACACCTACCTAAATGAGAGAAACTCTCTAATCAAGGATTGGGACAAACTTTTCGATGATACTTAAAATTTATTTATACTTACTTCTAATAAAGATCATAAAAAAAGTAATTCGCAATTTATGAATCAGAGTAAAACCATATTTATGATAGTTATAAGAATAATTTATTTTAATTAAAATTAAATTAAAATAATCCACTTTGCGTTTCACGCAAAGGAATACCACGAAAAATTTTCTCAGACTTCTTGACGGTAATAAGATTCCAACTAAATGTTCAACTTTTTCTCAATGAAATTATTTTTTATAGTCAACCATTTATTATTATTATTATTATCCTTTATTGATAGGGTATCATCTTTCTGAATATAATGAAAAGTTCCTCTTAATAACTCAATCCAGAAAATCAAAGTAACGCGAAATTTAAGTATCTGAGTACAATCATATTTAGGAAAGTAATAGGAAAAACTTATTTTAATTTTGATTAAATTAAATTAATCAAATTTTGCGTTACACGCATAGGAAAACCACGAAAATGTCTTTTAGATTGCTGACCGGTAATTGGATTTCAGCTAAATGTTCGTTATTGTTATGAAACTTCTTTTTATAATCAATATTTATCATCCTTAAATAGACAGCCTGTCATCTTAGTGAATGCTGTGAATCACTCTTCTTATATTTTTAACACAACCCAGAAATCAAAGTAACTAGTAATTTAAATACAGAAGTAAAATCATATTTTGAATAATTAGAATTTACATTACGCACAAATGAAAAACACTAGAACGTTTTAATAATAAACTAATTGAACATTAACATACGATAATGAGACATCTCAACAAATATTATCATTTTCCAATTTATAGTGTTTATACGAAGTTTGATGTTTTGGGCAGCTTAGCTTTATTTTATCCTAAAAAGACTAATGTTTACATTGAGGTTTAATTTCATTTCAATTTAAAAGAAAATGATGGCCACTAGATGGCAGTAGCAATTATGTGCATACAGAGAAACGGATAGCCAACAATTCAGTCGGGGATTACCCGGAATGCTGGTAAGCGATTATTATTATTTCGTTTTAAGTATTCTAACTTATTAAGAAACGTATTGTAAAGAAGTAGACGATTTTAAGAATTATGTGTATAAGTATAAAGTATTTTCTTAATTTGTTTTTAAAAAAAGTAATTTTATTTACTATTTAAGAAATTTCGTTTTCAAAGAAACAATAAGTTTCGTTTTGGGTGAAAGTACAAAAGTTTCGTTATTGATAATTTATTTCTATGTGTAATGTATTTAAGTACCATAATTTATAAGGTATGGCTTTGGGGGGGAGGCAAAAAAAGAGGAATTAATAGAATTAGCATCAGAATTGGGTCTCTTCGTACCAGACCATGCTAAATTAATTGTAAATCTATTTTTAACTCCTTGATTTTTGTTGTGTTAAAGTTAACTAGGGGGCTCCGCCCCCTGCTCGCTACGCTCGCCAACCCCCAGAACTGCTTCGCAGTTCCATTGCTTCGCAATCTTATAAAAACATTTTAACAAATTTAAATTTTAAAATAAAAATGCCAGATATTGAAATCAATTACTTAATGAAATTTATACACTTCTCTGCCCCCTTCACAATTTGATTATCTTTTCTTCATGTAGCTGAGAAATTTGGAGCTGTAGCAGAGAATATATCTCAATAAGAAATGCTTTCCCGTTTAGAATTCCGCCATTCATTTCTCTGACGTCTGCCAGAGATATTTCGACGCCTGATAGCAGGCATTTTATTTAGGCAGCAGGCACTAAATAAATAAAAATAGAACTAAATAACTAAGATATCGTTTTAAATCTCAAATCAAAATAATTGTTTGTAGAAAGTTTGTTTTGGTTTGAATATTCGCACGTTTGTTTTGGTTTGAATATTCGCACGATGCCATTGCCATTCTATTGTAACGAAACAAAAAATTTATCATGAAACTAAAAATTTATCAAAGGAACTAAAGATATTGAATTCTTTTTTTAAGAAATTCAGTTCCGTTTTTTTTTATCCACTCTTATTTTTGTTTATCAATCTATTAATTCAGAAATGCTTTAAATCAAACGATGCTTACGGAAACAATGCTTATGCGAACCACCCGAAAAATGATTTGCTGAATTCTCATTGGTTGAAACTAAATTATTAATTTTATTAATTAATTAAAGGAAATTTTCATAATTTAAGACCTTATTGCACATCTACATAACAATACCTTTAAAACGACACCTTATTTGTTGAATTCTGTTGCGTAGTTTGGGAGTTTTTAGCGAGACAAAATATTGCTAGCCTATTAATATATAGATATGTGTATAAAGTTAAAAAGGCTTCAAAACTTTTTAATTAATAAGGCTTTTAAATCAAATTCGAAACAACTTCTTAAAATTGTAATTTTAAATGTGTGCATTTAATTTATTAAAATAAAAATAAATTTTAAAAAATATAAATAAATGACTGGATAAAATTAAAAACTTCGTTGTCAGTAATCTAATCTTCGTTGTCATAAATTAGTCAAAAATAAACAATTTTTTAGTTTAAAAAGTCAAAGTTTTTTTATTTGTTTAAAAGGTAAATTTGCCCCATATCCTGCTCATGAGACTATTTAATATCTTCTAGTTCGTAAGGATCAGAATTCCTTTTTTTTTTTTTTTTTTTTTTTTTTTTTTTTTTNTTCCCTTTTTTTTTACTTTAAAATTGTACAAATGATATATTTAATGCTTTCATGTGATATGCTGCAGTTTTAAATAGCACTTAAAAATATCTAAGAAATTGCTGAAATTATCAATTCAAAAAACAATCGACGAATATGAATTTAAATAGCGCCACACGTTTTGTTTTGCTATCTCATTTTATATTATCGTATTATATAGAGCAGACAGTTGCGTGTGGATGATTGTAAGCAAAGAGGCATACAAAAAACCCAATTTAATTTTCAGTTGATGCTTTTAAACTCCTTGCAAAAATGTAATAATAAAGGTATGCAAATTAACTGTCGCAAACAAATTAATATCAGGTGGGATGAAAGACATCGAAACCAATTTGATTGAATAGTAAAACTAGATGGTGTTTCTAACATCCGGAAATCTATCAGGCTTTTTTTTCTGTCACAAAATTTATCAGAAACAATTCAATATGGAATATGTTTTTTCGTTGATTAAACATTAACAGATATTTGTCTTTTAAAACATTTCACTATACAATAAAAATAATTATTCTGCAATTGTATTTATTTAAAACTAATTGATATAAAGCCTTAGTGTGTTCCATTGATATATTGAATGCTCGGTTTGGTTGGATGCCCGGGGCTGTTGCTCTTTCACATCCTGGTCCACTGTACACGATCAAGAGAAGAACTGATACTTCAAGCCCGTATCACATTTATTCTCTCTAATATTTAATAGACCCTATAATAAATCCTTCAAAATATAAGCCAAAAATTTACATAAATAATGATAATTTTTATTCTTGCACAAAAATTTAGCAAATGTAATTAAAACAATTAAAAGAGAAAAAAAAAATTAAGAAATATTTTTAACATACACATCAATTGAATAATATCAGCTTGCGAAATATTATTAATATTTTTTATTTTTACAAACAGTAGTAATATAACGGCCCTCACCTGCTCCGGGTGTAGGGCCTAGAAAAAGAATAAAAAATATTTATACATTTCAAGATATGCATTCATTTATATCCTTGTAGCGATTAATTGTTTTTCTATTCTAAATTTTTTTTTTAGTCAACATGGCTTATTTTTTACAAGCGCATCACTGCTAATTGATTATAATTTATTCTTTAATACATTAGAAAAAAGAGAAGATTTACGGATTTAGAAATGTACCAAAATCAGGAATAAATAAAAAACTTTTTTTTCGGAAGTTTGAGTTCACCAGACGGCCGAAGAATACCCATGTATAAAATGGTGACTGATGCATGTTTAATCTGTCAGGGTCACTAAGTCCTCCAAGTTCTCATTACAAATCAATACCTCTGGGTACTAATTCAGGAGTTCCCTTGTCTTCTGGATTAGGTTCAAAATTAAAAGGCTACAGAGTTAAACATTGGTAGTCATAAGTTCAAAATTGAGTCGGTTGTTCAACTGTGGTTATAAAAAAATTAAACTAATAATCAAATTTTATGTTCTTGTATTCTATTTAACTCCTTGTATATACGTTCGTAATTTAATGTTTTTAAGTTTTATAGATTTTGAGCAGCAAAGCAAAATGTAATGTAAATTTGAAACAGCAGCCAAAACGTTAGCCAACCGTGAGCATGAACTTGAACGTTTACGTATCAAAACTAGAGCTCAAAATGTTAACATTTTGGATTTAAGTAGTAACGATGAAAGTAAAAACGTACACACATATTTTAGAAAGTTAATGCTAGAGTATAAGATCAAAGATGGAGATATAAATTTTTATTTGAGCGGTATTGGTCTAAGTCAGTGTTTCCCAAACTTGTGTACCCTTTCTAAATTTTTCGTAAGGCTGTGTACCACTAATAAAAAATTTAATTTTTTTTTACTAAAAAAAAAAACTGCACAAAGGTTAAAAGTCAACTGGCTGTTGACACCACTAATTATTAACTGTTAACTCTGCAAAAAATAGACTATAGAAAAATACGTAATCGTAAATCTTCATGGCTAGCTTTGTTATTAAATAAAAATTTTTGAAATTTTCGTTTGTTGCAAGATATTTTGCATAAGAACACGTACCCCCGTACGCGTTCCCGTACCAAAGGGGGTACGCGTACCACCTATTGGGAAACACTGGTTTAAGTGAAGAGTATTGGGTATTCCAATTATTGGGACTACTTCCTTATGAAATTACGCAACTAATCGCGCGTATAAACGAAGATAATGTAAATAATTATAAGTATGCGAAAGCAACATTGCTTAAGAGATATAAGTTAAGTGCTGATTAACTTAGATTTAAATTTTTGAATCTTGTTAAACACCCAGAAAGTACATGGAAGGATTATTCTTTCGAATTACAAAGCTAATTTGAAGAATGGATAACAGGGCACGAAATTTTGGAATTTAATAGCTTAAAAAATTTAATTAATACTGAATAATTGAAAAAAAACAAGCACATTTAACAAGGCGGGAACATTTTGTAGACGAATAGCCTAAATTTAATAAACCAGATAAATTAGATCTGAGCGGTAGCGCTTCACGCTGTCGTGCCACAGGTCCCTAGTTCGATCCTCGGGTCGGGCAAGGTTGACTCAGCCTTTCATTCCTTCAATGGGTCGATAAATGAGTACCAAGCATGCTTGGGAACTAAACACTGGGGGTTCCGCGTACGGCTGACCACCTGACCGGAACATCTGCTCCTGCACCCCAGAGCCCAAGGTCAAGAAAACTGAGATGGGCACAGTAGGCCATAGCCCTCTATGGGCTGTCGCGTCTCTGAGTTTAGTTTAGATAATTATGATAATGTGCGATCAGTTATAAATGAAGTAACAGTTGTATATTGAGAAACTCATGTAATGCTAGTGACGATAAATTTCAGGTAGAAAAGAAATCAACTCCGTTTAGTGAAAACAAAAGTATAAATCTAAAATAGTTTGTAAGTTCGGATATACGAAGTGAAAAAGGGAAATATCCCGTTATTGCCCGGGGCCTAAAACCATTGCTTATTGTAAGAAATGTAAAAAGCAAGGCCATTCGCTTTAAAAATGAATCTCTAATTGCAATCAGATAACAGTGATTTATTTGGTTTCGGTAATCAAAGTGGTCCAGTTACGAAAGCTATATAGGTAAAGCTGTAGTAAGCATTCGCGTGGATGACGTAGTTGGGAAATTTATTACTTTATTAATTGGTAAGGATGATTCACAACCGTGTTATTTAATTTTAGGAAGAACTTGGCTAGACTTACCCTACATTGCTTTTGCGCGTGTTGGAGATAATTTGGATACGCAAATAATGACGTTTTTTTCTTTCTGAAATTCAAGTAGATTAGAGTAAAAATGCTGTTAAATTGAAAACAATAAACGAAGTAGAAATCGAAAGTAAATCGACCAATTTAATTGGGGGGTAAAAGTGGAAGAAAGCGAAAACTCGATTTTTAATGGGATAATTTTAGTTAAAAGTATAGGTCAGAATTTCAATTCTGTTCTTGAGGTAGTTAACGATGAAACGATTGTAGTAAAAAAAGGAAGAATTTAACTTAAAAATTAGGAAAGATCAGTGCTTAGGTAGGGGAATGGAGGTAGGTGAGGGAATTGATAATGAAAAAGTTGAAGTAAGTGCAATTAACAATGAGTAGTCTCCTATTTTAATGAAAGATATTAATTTTGACGAAGTTTTAGAAAGTATTAAAAGATTTGAACCAGATTGCACCACCAGATTTATTAAATAGATATCGTGATTGTTTTGCTTTAAACATAAGTGAGTTAGACTACACAAACTTATGCAAAATTCACATTGAAGAAATCGAGGGCAGTAAGCCTATTTTTAAAAAAACCATAGAAAACCAATTCCGAAGAAAGAAAACAAATATGAGAAATGGTCTCCGAATGGGAAAAGTATGGAATAGTTTCAAACTCAAGATCTCCGTATTCCAGTCCTGTATTATTAGTCAAGAAAGAGACAGGGGAACAACAATTCGAAACGTGACTAACAATTCAAACAGTTTGACCAACAATTCAAAACGATTTTACCGGGTGGTAATAAACCGGAAAAATTGGCAGAGCAAAAAAATGGTGGAGCAATATTTAAGAAACAAATAAAATTTCAGATAATTCTTAAGCTGTTACATGTTTTTTAGCCTGGATTCTCAATTTGAGGAAAATTTTCGAACCTTATTATTTAAATATACATATTTTATTTTTATAACATTCTTTGAATAGTAGACCCAATTTTGAGTTTACGTCAACCAAAGCTTGTAAGCCTTGTTATTTTGAACCCAATCTTGAAGACAAGGACACTCCTAGATCAAGTTTTGGGAAAGATTTACCTTCGTGGTTGACTGTTTTGATTTAACTATCTCGCATTTGCGTTATATAGAGAGGAAAACTACGAAAAACCCCACTGTTACGGGACTTTACGCCTACGGTTAAAGATTATCTTGTATATGCACTACATGAAGATTAAAACACGCCTTCTCACAGGTATCTTTTAAAACGAAACGATAAACATATCTTATATTTCTGAATTTAAATTCAAAGTGTTTACTTAACCAGTTCTCAACTGCATCACCAGAAAAAGAACAACTGTCACCAAAATCAAGAGAAATTATGTGTATAGAAGCGTGCTATCTTAAGTCGTTATCAGAGACCTGATTATCAGAATCGACGTTATCAGAGTCACGAGCGAAATGTTCTGATTATTCTTTGAAAAACGAATGCTTAGAAAACTTAAAAACAGAGAGCAGAAACTTTTTTGAATTTGAATATTTAGTTTCTTCAAAATGGAAATAAATTATGTTTCTCAATATGAACTTTTTCAATCAATGTATTTAATTTATTCGAGATGGAAATACATCATGGTTCAGTCACGTCTCATTTCAGCACCTCGCGAGATGACGGGCTTTTCATTTCAATGGAAAATCGAACGTTTCTCTACATTAACGTCTGGTTCCCTCATTACATCTCCAGATTTTTATCTTACAAAAAAGAAGAAAAACTTACAGTGGTACTTGGAATTTAAAGTTTTGGAAAACTGGGACCGTTACTCGACGCTTGGCGCGATTTTATATGAACTAAATCTATGCAATGAAGACGAGGTCAATATAGGCATTGACTTTACAATGGATGTATCTCTTAACCAGAAGGATTTATTTCGAAAAAGAGTTGATTCCATTGAAAGCTTTTGCATCCTCAAGAAAGTGAATTTGTTTCCACGCATACTATTTCCTGTACTGTTTAAGGATGATTTCATTAACTAACTATTCGAGTTAAATGTGGTCCAGCAATTGGTTGGATACCTCACAGGCCTATTTAGCTGCCAGCCAAAAACAACCCATTTGTATTGCAAAACGATCATTAAATAACTACATCAAGCACATAACACTTCTGTTCGGGAAAAACCAATGAATAAACAATCCATTCCAGACCAAATACGAAAGGCAACGAAAAATTCCACGACTGAAATTGCAACCTGTACCTCCAAGCAAACACAGACCTCTCAAACGGTAAATGCAGACGATAGTTGAAACTTAGAAACAACTTTCGATCAATTTAAAAAGAATCCTTATTCATTCCAAGAACTCTGATGTTACGATTCGATTCGAAGATATCGCAATCAAAGCGCATAAAACAATATCATGTGCAAGATTAAGAGTGTTTTGCATCATGTTCGAACATTCCACATTAAAAGCCGCGAACAATGAGATTGAAGTGACAGGCATCCGGACTTCTGTTATTAAAAAAACTCATCAACTATGTGTACTGTTACGAAAAATGTCACCTTCAATACGAAGAAGCATATGAGCTTTACAACGCAGCTGACAAGTATGAGATTTTGTATCTTAAAGAAGCTTGTATGAAAGATCTCTTATGTTCACATGACTATCTGCCTTGCTGGAACCGTGATGGTCCAGGAGAAAGAGCATTCACCTCACCAAGGACGTGAACCGGATTTGAATCCCAGCAGTGGCTGGTTGATACGAATTCCGCATCCGGCTTGCACCGACCACATGGACAGATCATGGGTTATAGTCCCCTTGTCGTCATTCTAACCATGGGAGGCTTTCCACTCCATGTAACACAAATGCAGGTTTTTCCATCAAAAAAGTCCTCCACGAAGGTAAATTTCTCCCAATACTTGATCCAGGAGTTACCTTGTTTTCTGGATTGGGTTCAAAATGACAAGGTTATGGAGTTGAACATTAATAGTATTAAACACAAAAATTGCGTTGGATGTTCATATAAAATATAAAATGAATGATGATAATATACGTAAATGGTGTAAGCTTTTTAATGAAGGGAGAAAAAATGATCATGACAAAGAACAATCTGGATGAACCTATTGTTATACTGGTCATCCACCATACAGCCCTGACTTAGCACCACCAGACTCGTTCTGTTTCCAAAATTTAAGGAATTCCTCGGTAGAAAGCGCTTGGAAAATAATGGCATGTTGAAAGAAACTGTTACTAACTAGTTTTACGGTTAGGTAGCAGAGCTCTTTGTTGATGTGATCTTAAAACTGATGCCACGACTGTACAAATGTTTCAAATTTAATGGTGAATATGTTAAAGAGTGAATACATGTTCATATTTTAATTTGTGATACAATTTACGTTCGTATATAAAATTTCACTTACTTCAATACAGTTCTTACTTAAAAAATGACCATTGCATATAAAGTAGCAAAATATTGAATCTAGTGTATTGTTTTGCGTTGAAACCAAATAAATAGAACTAATTGGTAAGAAGATATTATGGTTTCTGCATTAGAATTCTAGAAAACAAATGTCTTCTTCCTTCTCTACATTTAAATGAATATTAAATGAGAATGTTTTGTTCTTCCTTGTTAAGCGTAAATAATGAAAAAATTTACCTCACCATTATTCGCTTGTTCGTAAACAGTAACTTCATAAACACTTAGGAAAATAACACATAGAAAATACAGGTTAATAACTAATAAGTACTCTATATATCTTAAATTTTTTCATGAAGACTATTAATTTCATTAGTAATATTAGTTTTTTTTTAAAGTAACGTCAGCTACCTTCGTTGCGTTTATGATAAAATGAAAATAATTATTACTAAGAAGTAGAACAATACACAATGTCCACAATATTTACATTCACTGAACATAAAACAACGGAATTCTTAAAAAGAAATAATAAAGTAGAAATAAAATAACTATATTAATAAATAGTGAAGAGTTTTAAAATAATAAGTTTTCAAGTAGTATGAAGTTTTATTATATTACTATTAATTCCCCTCTTTATTATTTTAAGTAAAAATATTTTATAGCTTTTATCCCGTTCTTGAATACTGTTCAAACATTTGAAAAATAGTTCAGTTAAATATTCTATATTTATCACATTTTTGTATCATAATGTAGATTAAATGTTGATTGAAACCATGTTGACTGAATATCAACCTGTAATCGAACTGTAATCGCAGTAAATTTTTTTGTTAATATTAAAACCTTTTAGTCCTAAGACGAAATAATTTTAACTGTCGTCTTTAGAGACGAAATAGCAGTATACATTCTGTTTCACAATTTTATTAAATTCTTCATTCTGCTGTATTTTTAAACCGAAACATATCTTTCTGATTTTCAAACAATACATGTATTATAATTTATTTAAACGATACCAAAATTTATCTCTTGTGTCTTGAATAGATTGTGTTATCAGTCAGAATTAAACGAAATTCTCTTTTGAATAGACGCCAAGCGGTGGTTGAGAGGTTGGATGATTACTGTGAAGATGAAAAGAAACGTGGATTGAAAGATTAGAAACAGAAAATAGAATCATTTTACCTGAAGTATTTACATTTTTTAAGATGGAATTAAAGCATGGTTTGGCGAGGTCCCATTTCAGCACATCGCAGAATGGTGCATTTTCATTTCAGTGGAAAATACATAATTTTTCTTGTTTACAACGAGGTTTTCCTATTTCAAGTCCGAAATTTTATTATAAAGGCAGTAAATACCCTTGGTTTTTGGAACTTACAGCTTCGTACGTATGTACCAATAATTTTCTCTTATTAAATCTATGTAACGATTCTAAAGATGATGATATTGATTTAAATTTTACAATAACTGTATCTCAAAACCAGGGAATATCATTTTATACAAATAGTGATTCTGCATTTCGTTTTTCGATTTGGAATCCTGTAATGTTGCTACCAAACGTAAAACTACCGATATCATTCTTCATTGATGTCCTCAACATCACTTGTACTATTGAAGTAACTGGACTAGAAGTTGAGAGTCATACAAAGACAGTGACAAGCATATCTCCTAACCTCAAAAGTTCAGAATCCCAAAGCAATCAACAAAGCTCTGCAAATGAGATGCATAATAATTCTGGAAAAGCAGACCGGAAGGAACAAGGGGCCAACTCACTCTTGAAGGAAAAGAAAGGTGATGAATCCTTTCTGAAAATTGCAGATTCAGTAGTTCCCCAGCGAACTCAGTCTTCCGGATCGGAAAATACTCCAGACGATAGCCCTGATCTTGAAACATTGAAACAACTTTCGATCGATTTAAAAAGGATGCTTACCCAAACCATGAATTCTGATGTCACGATTCGAGTGGAAGATATCACCATCAAANTTTACACCAATATTAAATGAGAATGTTTTGTTCTTCCTTGTTAAACGTAAATAATGAAAAAATTTAACTCACCATATTCGCTTGTTTGTAAAAATTAACTTCTTAAACAGTTAGGAAAATAACACATAGAAAAAAGAGGTTAATAACTAGTATGTACTCTATATATCTTAAATTTTTTTCATGAAGACAATTAATTTCATTAGTAATATTATAGTTTTTTTAAAAAATTGTTTTACTAATTTACCGAGCAATTTTTTAGTACTAAAGTAACGTCAGCTACCTTTGTTGCGTTTATGATAAAATGAAAATAATTATTACTAAGAAGTAGAACAATACACACTGTCCACAATATTTACACTCACTGAACATAAAACAACATAATTCTTAAAAATAAATAATAACGTAGAAATAAAATAACTATATTGATAAATGGTCAAAAGTTTTAAAATAATGAGTTTTCAAGTAGTATGAAGTTTTATTATGTTACAATTAATTCCCCTCTTTATTCTTTTAAGTAAAAATATTTTATAGCTTTTATCCTGTTCTTGAATACTGTGCAAGCATTTGAAAAATAGTTTAGTTAAATATTCTATATTTATCATATTATTGTATTATATTGTAGATTAAATGTTGATTGAATATCAATATGTAATTGAACAGCTATCGCAGTAAATTTTTTTGTTAATATTCAAACCTTTTAGTCCTAAGACGAAATAATTTAAATGTTGTCTTTAGAGACGAAATAGCAATATACGTCCTGTTTTAAAATTTTATTAAATTCTTCATTCTGCTGTATTTTTAAACCGAAACATATCTTATCTTTCTGATTTTCAAACAATACATGTATTATAATTTATTCAAACGATACCAAAATTTATCTCTTGTGTCAGAATAGATTGTGTTATCAGTTAGAATTAAACAACATTCTCTTTTGAATAGACGCCAAGCGGTGGCTGAGAGGTTGGATGATTCCTGTGAAGATGAAAAGAAACGTGGATTGAAAGATTAGAAACAGAAAATAGAATCATTTTACCTGAAATATTTAAATTTTTTAAGATGGAATTACAGCATGGTTTGGCGCGGTCCTATTTCAGCACATCGCAGAATGGTATGGTTAAATTTCTGTGGAAAATCGAGAATTTTTCTCTCTTACAACGAGATTATCCTATTTCAAGTCCGCAATTTGGTTTTAAAGACAGTAAATACCTTTGGTTTTTGAAACTTAAAGTTTCGTATTGTCATCCCAATGATTTTCTCATATTAGATCTATATAGCATTTCTAATGATGTAATTCATTTAAATTTTACAATATCTGTATCTCAAAAAATATCATTTTATGCAGATAGTGGTTCTATAATTCGTTTTTCGAAGTTGAATCCTGTAAAATTGCTACCAAACATAAAACTACCGAGGTCATTGTTGTATGATTTCATTATCATCACTTGTACTATTCAAGTAAGAGGGCTAGAAGTTGAGAGTCGTACAAAGACAGGGACGAGCATATATCCTAACCTCAAAAGTTCAGAATCCCAAAGCAATCAACAAAGCTTTGTAAATGAGATGGATAATAATTCTGGAAAAGCAGACCGGAAAGAACAAGGGGCCAACTCACTCTTGAAGGAAAAGAAAGTTGATGAATCCTTTCTGAAAATTGCAGATTCAGTAGTTCCCCAGCGAACTCAGTCTTCCGGATCGGAAAATACTCCAGACGATAGCCCTGATCTTGAAACATTGAAACAACTTTCGATCGATTTAAAAAGGATGCTTACCCAAACCATGAATTCTGATGTCACGATTCGAGTGGAAGATATCATAATCAAATCGCATAAAAATATATTGTGTGCAAGATCACAAGTGTTTTGCCGTATGTTCGAACATTCCACATTAGAAGTTGCGAACAATGAGATTGAAGTGACAGATATTCGAGCTTCCATTATGAAAAAACTCATCAACTACTTGTACTGTGGTGAAAAAGGTCGCCTTCAATACGAAGACGCGTGTGAGCTTTACTACGCAGCTGATAAGTATGAGATTTTGTATCTTAGAGAAGCTTGTATGAAAGATCTTTTATGTTTACTTGATGTGAACAACGCCTGTCCAATGCTCAGTCTGGCATATCGCCACAGTGACGAGGTTTTCAAAGAACAAATAATGAACTTTATTTCTAAGAATTTTATTTCTATTGTTAAAACAGAATCATGGATAGAATTAACAGATAAAGACACGAAACTAGCTGCTCTTTTAATGCGTTATTGTGCTGAAGCTTTGACTAAGTAGGTCTGCTTTTGGTTTAATTTTCTTATAATATTGTTATATAATATAAGAAGTTAATTTTAGGTAATTTCAAACATGTATATCATTAGACATGCATATCATAAACATGTATTACTTATTATTATCTTCAAACATGTATTTATAAAAGAAACAACAGCTATTTCAAAGTAAAATAAAATTCTATGTTTTATTAGTTTGAACTGTGTAATAAATATGAAATAATAAGTTTTTAATTTACGTAATTATGAAATCTTATTAAATATTGTCACTCAGGGAGTTTTAATATTCTGAGCCAAAGTATTTTTTTTTCTTGTTCTGACTTTTGTGTCCCTGTCTTTGTTTCCAGATAAATACTTATCTATTTTCCGGAATTTCCGTTTGAATGCAAATAAAGATCCTGACAATTAAAACAATTTTTTATTACAATACTTACTTCCATTGTTAAATCACAAGCTTTCATTTTTGTCTGAATATTCTCTTTTTGTTTTTAAATTGAAACAAAATCTATAATTTTTTATTAACACTTTGACGGAGATAGAACACCAATGTTCCTTACATATAAGGATTTTTCTGACTTTCTAATTATAAGAAAAATATATTTGGTGCTTTTAATTTGTAAGAAACAGTCCAACGTCACTTAAAAAATCTGTGTGGAATTAACTAAAACATGAAATCCTAAAAAGTAGTTAGTAATTTTTTTTTTTCATATTGAAAAAAATTTATCAATAATTTATTTTATAAATTAAAAAAATTTCAATGATGAATAGCTGTTTGTCTTAAATATAAATAAGTACAAATTTGAAAAATTGTTTAGAAGTGACTCATGTCTGGAAAATGTTAGCCTTAACGTAGGAAAAAAGAGACAAATGTGTTTGATGCTGTATTTCTTAACCAAAAATCATTAAAAGACTAAGTATAATATTTTCCACTTATTGTGATCTAAATTGATTCAAAATTATGAAAAAAGTATGAAATATAGAAACCAAAGTGTTTTAAAAGTAATTTATTATGAACATAGCTAAAGAATTATTTTTAGCAATGTAATTTGATTCTATATATTGGCAGAATAAAATGTTTATCTTTAGACATATGGTAGTTGTTTTCCCCTAAAAGATTTTTTGTTACCAAACACATAGACGTAACAAAAATCTAAATTTTTTATTTTTATTCTAGCGCAAATTCGACAGATAAAAAGTACATGTGATTTTGCATCAAATTATTACGGGTTGACTGGATAAAAAAGCAGTAATTGTTTATAAAAACAATCATCATTAAACAGACAAGCAATACTGCAAGATCCCTCAACTTTTAAAGGCGTTGTAACCAGATATAATAATAATAAATGAAAAATAAAAAGAACATTCTTAACTAAATTATCAAACAGTAAGCAGAGAATAAGGAATAAACCTTCGTATATCGTAAATCGAAAGCATAATTAAATATTATCTTACGCTCTTATAATATATATTAATCGAATTTACACCGAAGAGCCATTACATTATGACCACCCTGCTAATAACATGTAGGACCACCTTTAGCCCTCGAAACTGCTAGCACCCGCCGTGGCATTGATTCCACAAGGTGTTGATAGGTAGTCTGAGGTATCTGGTACCAAGCGCTCACCAACTATAGTCCTGCAATTCCCTCACATTGCAAGGGGGTAGCGTGGCAGCATGAATTTGGTTTTCCAAGTAGGACCATAAATGCTCTATTGGATTAAGGTCAAGTGAATTTGGGGGGCCAAGTCATGACTTGAAAGTCTCTGGAATGTTCCTCGAACCAATCCATAACGATTCTTATGACACGGTGCATTATCCTGTTGGTAAACACCATCCCCCACAGGAAAAACTGTTGTCATGAATGGGTCTGCAACTATGTTCAAGTAGCTTACAGACGTCAGGGTTTGTTCTATGAGGATCATGGGTCCTAATGTGCCTCATGAAAACATTGTTCCTGGGCCAGAAACCATGAAAACCTGGGCGAGCCCATTGTTATGGATGGAGGGTGGTCATAATGTAATGGTTCTTCAGTGTATATCGAAGTCTGTTCTGGAATATTGTGCAAACATTCGAAGAATAGTTCAGTTGAATATCGTCTATTTATAATATTTTCGTATCCTATTGTTAATTAAATGTTGATTGAACTATGTGTTGATTAAATATCAACATATATTTGAACAGCTATTAGGTACAGTAAATTTTTTTGTTAATATGAAGACCTTTTAATGCTTGCAAGATATAATTTAAATGCTGTCCTTATACACCAAATTGCAACCTATTTCCTGACTTACTATTTCATTAAATAGCTTAATCTATTGCATTTTCCAACCCACTGATACACATATCTTATCTTTCTGATTTTCGAACAAAATGCGTATACTTTAACACATTCGCTGCCACTAAAAATGATATTTCCATCCTCAGAAGCCGGATTACAAAACAGGGTTTTAATGGTTTAAATGTTCCTTAAATTTTACTAGGAAAAACCAGAAAAACGAAGAAACATTATTTTCCTGTTTAGAGAGAGTTTTTTTTTTCCCCGACGCTTTGGAGCGTCAGTGGCACATGAATTAAAAAAGTTTTAAAATTTAAAAAACTAATTGAGAAATAACAGACATTAATACAAAATAAAAAAATATTTTATGCATATATTTTATTAAACATATATATTTATGCATATATTTAATTAAAAAAAAAATAAATACATATATAAATACATTTCCGTGGATAACCCATTCTCAACGTTCATAAAAAATGGAATTAACATGCTTCTTTTTCGCTCTGCCTTTTTCTGAATCTTCCTTTTTCTTACTTTTCATTTCATCGAAAACTACTAATCAAAGAGTTTAATAATTTTTCGCTGACAAGCTCTATAAAAATCTTAAGAATGTATGAATCATGATTCGTAGGACTGAGTAAAAGCATACATATATTACAGCAAAAACTTTTCGATTTCAAAAGGTTCTTAAAAATAAATTGGTGCTGCCATCTTTAGAATCTAAACCAAACTTTTTAAGTCATTTCCTTTTAATTAATTTATTATTATTATTATTTTTCGCCCCTGCCACTGGACAAAACATTTTACAGGCTTCCTTTATACCCTTATATCTTTTTGTATGAGGACTCAAAAAAAAAAAAGGATTACTTTTCATTTGGTTCGGATGCGTTAAATATTTGCATAAATATTGAAGGAAATTTGTATGATTATTTTCTTTCGAATTATCATTCTTATTTTTTAAATATACAACTCCAATTCGAAATATTAGAATAACCAAAAAAGGCATTGTATTACCTTATGAAATGCGTGATATCTTTAAAAATAAACAACGGTGGCGAACGGAAAGATTATTAACCGTCCACAATTAGTTGACGTATGATATTATTGTTCACACGCGCCTAAAGAAGTATTAGAGATTTTATAAAAAAATATTGAAATTTTTCAAAATATTAAAATATTTCCAGAGGCGATTCAAAATATTAGAATATCTGTAAAATTGTGTGATTGGTCAACGTTAATCATAAAATTTGCATAAGTTGCGCCACTGTAGAGCTAGTACGCGTATAAAGGCTCGTTTGAAAATCAGATTTAGTTAGTTGGGAGTTAAAATGGGTCGAACGAAAGACATACCGGACACTACCAAGACAGCGATTGTGACTCTACGCAATGAGGGAATTAGTCAACAAATGATTGCCAAAAAAGTGAATTGCTCTCAAGGAACTGTAAGTAAAATTTTAAAAGATTATTCTACAAATCAAAGTTTTAAAAATAATCGCTCAAATAGTGGTCGTAAACGAATAACCACACTGAGACAAGACAGAATGCTGAAACGTGTCGTCACTAAAAATCGCTTCAAGAGCTTGAGATTCATAAGTAGAAAGTGGAGAGAACAAGGAGTGGATGCCTCAACATCTACCACACTACGACGACTCCATGAACTTGATTTTCAATCACGTGTGCCCAAGAAAAAGCCGCTACTTACACGCAAGCAAAAACGAGCCAGAGTGAGGTGGTGCAAAGACAGATTGCAATGGGGTATTCAGGACTGGAATAACGTACTTTTTAGCGATGAATCGATGTTTTGCGTTTCCCACGGTCATCAGGGTGTCCGTGTTTGGCGTTGCAAGCAAGAAGCTTTTACCACAGATTGCTTGAAACGCTCAGTGAAGTTTAGCACTTCTGTAATGATTTGGGGGTGTATGGGTGCTGAGGGCTTAGGAAAGCTGTGCATTTTGAAAGGAAGGGTAAATTCTGAAGTATACAAGGAGGTACTTGAACATTTTATGATTCCGTCATCGGAAGATCTATTTGAGGATGACTTTATCTTCCAACAAGACTCTGCATCTTGCCACACGTCAAACGCCACCACTACTTGGCTTACTAACAATAAAGTCAAATTACTTCCTTGGCCGGCCAATTCACCCGATTTGAACCCCATCGAGAATATATGGGGTTTAATGAAGAAACGCCTTCAGGATTTAGCTCCAAAGGACAAAAATGAACTCATAGAAAGCGTGAAATCCGTTTGGGCAACTATCAGCAAAGATGACTGCAAAAAAGTAGTGCATCGTATGCAAAATCGTTTGCGTGACGTTATTAAAGCTAAGGGAGATGCCACTAAGTATTAACTATTCATGCAGATTTCATTTAAATGAATTATGCTATTTTTGTTCATGTTATTCTAATTTTTTGAACCACTGTGAAAATTATTCTAATTTTTTGAATTTTTAGAAAAAATTCATTGTAAAAACTTTTGCAATATCATAATAATTTATTTATGTTATGTTCATCTACAAAACATGTAGAATGTGATAACACACTTCAAAATTCTCAGGTATTCATTTTTATCAAAATAAATACATATCTCAAACTACTATGTGCTTTATTTATCATTATTCTAATATTTTGAATTGGAGTTGTACATATATGTAATAATAATTTATAATAATGTTTACTACCCAAGTATTAATATTGATTAATAAAAAAAATAATTTTTTCCAAAGAACAATTAAATTAAAAAAATTATCTACTAATAATAATTTTTCTTTTCAAAATTTTATTTTCAAATTTTATACAATAACTAAATTTTTGTCAATTTACAAGATGTAAGGCTTTTAGAAGATAGGAATGTCACGCTTATAGGCTTCACTGAATTGAAGCATTTTTATGAAATTATTTAATTATCAAACTGTATTATTTCTTACTTTCTAAGTTATGTGACTCTGACACCTACCTAAATGAGAGAGAGAAACTCTGTAACCAATGATTGGGACAAATTTTTCGATGGTACTTAAAACTTATTTGTGCTCAATGGAAAGAAAAACCTCGCACGATTAGTCTGATGGCTTACCCATATTGTTTTCCATTACATCAGTATTGAAATCGTCGAGAGTTGGAAACTAATGATCGCTGGGATTCGAACCTGGTCACCTTATAGAGAGGCGAGTGCTCTATTCTATCCATTGAGCCATCGGGACTCTTATAAGACCTTCTGAAATTCACATGCGAATGAATAGACTTCTTGGAAAATACTGTCATAAAAAAACACACTTATTGGCCTGCGTCATTTCACCTAGCACTTTATCCATAAAATAACTTTTCTTCAGGAGTCAAACCAGGGAATTTAGAAAGTCGAAAATTATTCATCTCAGTTAAAGCTTAGACAACTATATAAAGCTAAATATGAAGCAACTTTTTTCAAAAAAAAAAAAAAAAAATCAGATGTAGCTGTTGTGGTCGGCCATTAAGGCAGAGAGGGAAGGGGATGCGATTGTTCTTCTTTTTCAGTTGAGCCCAGTCAGTTTATGCCCAAGAATTCGACTTTTGTCACACCTGTTTATTGGGCGGACTTATGCATACATCCATCCATACCAGGGGTCTGTCCAGACATTTTGTGAAAGGTCCGTTTTGGTAAAATTGTGAAAAAATTACTCGTAATTTGTGAATATAAAACAAACGTTAAGTCACATTCTTTCAAACAGGGTCCTGCTTTTGTGAATTTGTGCAAATAGGGTCCTTATTGCAAAAAACTTTTCAAGAAGCTTTTTAATTGTAAATAGATACAAGATTATGATCAACACTGTAAAACTATAATTTAAAAAAATTAAATTTGCAAAAATAAACAGCAATTGCTGCTTCTAAATAAGAGATGCAACATACAAATATTTGGTATTTAGCCTATACTGCTGAAAGCAGAATATTCATTTCAGAAGAAGCGTCTGCCAAAGACAAAACTTAATTCGTTTAAATCCATCTTTATTTTTTTCCCCTTGGGAAGGGTTTATTCGATTAACAAAACAATTACGAAAATGAACAAATTTGTGAAGAGTCCGATTAAAAGAGACATTATTTTGTGAAGGGTCTGTTTTTATGAAATATTTTGTGAAGAATGAAATCAGAGAACGATCTATCTGCAATTCAGTAACCCCAGAGATATTGATTTGTTATGGGAACATCGAGAACTTTATGACCCGACAGATTTAACGTACACCAATCACCATTTACAGTCGAACTTCTATTAAACGAACTTCCATTTTGCGAATGTTTTCGAGGAACCAAGAACATTTTGGAAATTTCTTCGTAAAATGACCTCCAAATAGAGAGGGGTATTTTCTATTTATCGAACTTTTCTTTGAGATCCACTTTTCCGAAATATTTCAGAACATTTCCAACTTGTTAGCGTATTTTATGGGAGAAATGACCTTGAATTAATTTTTGAAGCCACTGCTTTATGTAATGTTTTACTGCTTCCCCTAAAAGTTATTTTAGAGAAAACAGTAAAATCCCTTTCATTTTTTGTTCACATTTCAAGCGAAAAACTCAGTCCAAATTAACCTTTTACTTACGGCTGGTACAACATATGGACCATATGTGATGGAAGAACATGGTACACCGTAAGCAAAGGGTTAAAGGATTTTATCAGTAGCAGTTAAGCTTATGAAGGCACGTTCTAATGTATGTTTAAAATTACTTTTATAATAAATGCAGCTATAATTTTATACATCTTTTTTTTTGTTGTTGAAAACGTATGTAGCATGATAGTGTAACACTGGATAATGTTTTGCTCTATTCTTGCTTTCCATGCAGATTTCTTTTATGGTTAAGATTTATAAAATAAATAGCAGATACCAGTTTACAAGATGAGGGTGCATCAATTGATATTTTAATTATGCCTAGCGTTTATGAATTTAAAACATGTTTTGTGTTGTTCCGTTGACTTAAAATACTTAAACAATTTCGTTGTTTAAATATTTTAAAAGGTGATTTTCTATTAAACGAATTTTCCATATAACGAACGTATTATCGGGATTTAGCGAGTTCGTTAAACAGAGGTGCGACTGTACTACACAGGGAGTCTTCGGCCACCTGGATTCGAATTCCCGTTCTCGCAAACTGGAGTCCAGCGCTTTCCTAACCACTCTATCCCGGCCAAAAAAACTCAGATGAAAAATATTAAGAATTTCTATGGCTTTTTACAAATTTTTCAGAAATCGTGGCTTAACCTAGACAATATTCAGGCCCTAGAGACAAGAATGGATTGATATCACATTTTTGCCAAGTTCTAGTCTAGTCGAAGCAACTAGCAACTCTATTGCCCACACTGAATATTGCGATGTTTGGAGAGGGGTATCGGACTTAGTTAAGTTCACTAAGCCTCTCAATTTGTGGCCTTTTTTTAAATTTGTTTAAAACTTTATAAATATATATGTTACGGTGAATGTTGACAATCACATAGTCGCTTTGGTGAATATGTCCGAAATATTTATTACATTCGATTTGATATGAATTTATTAGTGGATATAATTACATTTATTCGATATTTTAATACTTACTGACGATAGATGAGAAGAAACATCAGTGTTTGGAGTATCAGGCCATACATTTACATTTGACCGGTATACATTTGCTCGGTATACCCTACACCAGGGGTGGCGAACCTTTATGCACCAACGTGCTATTTTTTCCAAAAAAAATTTTAATGACGTCATAGACGTGCCGTCAAATAATTTTGACTTATAATAATACTAAATACTATAAAATAATAATACTAAATACTATCAACTCAAAACTCTTTATTTGCATTGAAAATATATATATATATATACATTTTGCAATGTCTCAATTATGTGCGTAATTGAACTTAAAGTAACATCAGTGTGACTTCTGTTGTTGTAGATTAGATAACAAATAACTTATATTAGATTGTAAGAAGTTAGTTTAAGCAGGACTGTTAATTTTTTTTTGCTCGTTATTTATTGTTAGCTTGTTTTTTATGGTTATTNTAAATAGAACATACCCTATAGCAGGGGTGGCGAACCTTTATACACCAACGTGCCATTTTTTCTAAAAAATTGTTTAATGAAATCACAGACGAGCCGTCAAATAGTTTTGACTTCGTGATTATTGGGAAAATAATAATACTAAATACTATCAACTCAAAACTCTTTATTTGCATTGAAAATATATATATATATATACATTTTGCAATGTCTCAATTATGTGCGTAATTGAACTTAAAGTAACATCAGTGTGACTTCTGTTGTTGTAGATTAGATAACAAATAACTTATATTAGATTGTAAGAAGTTAGTTTAAGCAGGACTGTTAATTTTTTTTTGCTCGTTATTTATTGTTAGCTTGTTTTTTATGGTTATTAATTGTTAATTTTTTTGTTAATAACTGCTTATTTATTTTGTTTGTTTTTGTGAATTTTAATTTAATTGATACATACGCTTCATAGTGTAATAACAATTCATAGTGTAATAACTATTCTAATCGGTGGCGTGCCCAAAATATTGTGTCGCGTGTCATAAATGGCACGCGTGCCATTGGTTCGCCATCCCTGCCCTACACTGATGTTTTTTTAAGGTTAAGTGCCACTGCCTGGTATATATTTGCCCCATACTCTAAATACTGATGTTTCTTCTAATCTATCGTCAGTAAGTATTAAAATATAGAATAAATATAATAATATCAACGAATANTTTCTATGTCATGTTTGTGTCTAAATAAACTAATAAAAAGACACTGGTCCCTCATTTATTTACAGTTTAATTTACGAATAACTTTCATCATCTCTCGATATCTCTAATATCTTAGACAACCGGTGAGAGTCGACATTCTCCAGATTTCGGTCATTCACCGTAACATATATATATTACTTTTTAATTATCTTTCCCCAAAAAGTTTACGTTCATATTTTAAATATGACAGAAAAAGAAATATGTTTCAAGGGTGTCTTCAATTAATCTATTTCCTGTTTTTGACGCACTATTACAAGATATGGCATTTGATGTTACTCTATTATGGACGTAATAATACGTTCCAGTTTAGTTCCTTTAATTCCTCTTGTTTTTGTCGCATCATTTTGTTCTCTTCGCTATGCTTGCAAATACCAAAGATTGTCTGCATGCTAATACAGAGAGAAAAACTAATAGCATTATAACAAGTAAGGGTAACTCCTTACCTGTTTGAATGCTATATGTACTATAGCTTATTTTACTCCCTACAAATACCAACAAAAAATAAAATGGCTTCGTAACCAGTTTTACAACTTACTGTCAAGTCCTGAAGAAGAAGCAACTACTCTGGCACAATAGAGTGAAAACAGAAAACTTTATTTGCAATTTCTTTAACAGATTTCATTATGATCTATCTCAGCAGTTTCATTATGATATACAGGTACAGGGTCCATGTTAAAAATTCGTTACTTCGCCAATTGCGATAAAATTGTAAATTCGGTGAAAGAAAAATTTAGTTTTAGTGAAAGAAGTGGAAAATAATTTTTTCTACCGAAAAAAAAGATATATATTGCCTTCAATCCTGGGAGAATATGATGAAGACTTTTTCAAAATAGAAAACCACCTTACCCCAGAACAGCAAGGATAAAAATCAGGACTAGTGATTTCTTTTTCCAGCAAGAGTTTTGAAAAGTGTTCTATGGACCACTTGAAAGTGTAAGTACTTGTCGGAATTTGTGTTCTTATATGGCATCCTTTCTTACACTTGGACATTGTTGCTGAAAGAAAAGAAAATATAATTTCAGTATGTTCTGTAATCACCACTCGTGATACATATGTTTAAAATTCTTGCGAAAGGAGAATTAAAAATACGAAATAAATATTTCAGAGAGGATAAAAACGAAAATGAGTCTTAAAATTTGGAAAATGACTATTTAGATAAGTGGGGCTAAAAATATCAGTGTGCTGTATTGCAGTTGTTTCTATGAATCGATTTTAACTTCATCTGAATTTTCACTAGCAATTGAACACATTTTGATCTAATTTTGACTTCGCATCTCTAATTAATGAATTGTTTCCTTGCATAAATATAGCTTTTCCCCCTCGCATTAGTATAAATTTGTGACCTCTCATGTGTATCTTTAGTGATGAGAGCACATCTCATGTGTGCGGCAATGTTAACCGACCCAACGTGCGTGCTCATTTCGGTTGCAGTCGATCCTCAGGAGGTTATGCCACACGTCTGTGATTCTCCTTAAGTTGACGTGTTTGCTGCTTTGTCTCCTTTACAAGTGTACGGATGATTTTTTCTTCACTCAGAAAGCTGTTAATAGTGTCATTTACCTCGATATGCCGCAACTGTGGTTAATGACACAATCACAAGATTATGTCTCCCTCATTTTTACAAATGGGCCAACCCCCCATTATCCGATAGTCGTTAGTGATTTTCTTAATTACGAGAGTAGTATAGGCGGCACTACAGCGTAAACAGTAGGGGGTCCCTATTCCTGACGCCATCATGGAAAGTCAAGGGGTGCTTATTTCTGCCCAACCGGAAGTTGATAATTTCTGCCCGCCTACAAACCGGAAGTTGCTTATTTCTGCCCGTCTATAACCTGAAACTTCGTCTGCAGCGTCATGGGTAGCTTATTTCTTTTTTTCTTAAGCCTAATATATTTTTAGTTTCGGTTTCTGTTTTTAATTTAGTTTCGTTTTTTTAAATNAACGCTGTGTACAGGAATGAAATCAAGTCTTTAAGAACTTGCATTTCTAAGTCCTTTATTTCTATAACGTTGGTTTCTTTTTCCTCTAGCTTGTGTTCGAACATTTTTGCGAACACTGGGGATCGGCCACATATAATCGCTTTGTGCACTCGCAAAGAGTCAGTGCCGATGCGCAAGCACACATCAGTGTAGAGAGACACGCCATACATGGTTTTCAAATCGCTAGACAATTTTGCGAGATTTTTATTATCATCCGCGCTTTCAGATATCAGCTCAAAGGTTTGCGTCTCGATATTGTGTCCTGAAAATGTCATGAAACAAGAAAATGTCACAATATCTTTTGTCAGATGATACATATCGTTAGTATTTATTGTATCGCTATTATCAATCAGTACACACTGTGCAATGTTCTTACAAGACGAAGCAGTGGTACAAAAGACATTGTTATTTGCAAACCCCTGTCTGGTACTTACAGTACTACTTACTTCTGTGTTATAGGTCTTATGTAGTTTCTTTTTAATCCATATCTTTCCACTAGAGTCCACAATAGAAATTATATGTTCAACAGATACATTTTGCTTTGTAGGATTGCACATGACCCAAGTTAAATATGATGAGGACTTTTTCAAAGTAGAATACCACCTAGCTCCAGAACAGCAGGGATAAAAATCAGGACTTGTGATTTCTTTTTCCAGCAAGAGTTTTGAAAAGTGTTCTATGGACCACTTGAAAGTGTAGGTGCTTGTCGGAATCTGTGTCCTTATATGGCATCCTTTCTTACACTTGGACATTGTTGCTGAAACAAAAGAAAAAATATTTTTAGTATATTCTGTAATCACCACTCGTAATACACATTTTTAAAATTCTTGCGAAAAGAGAATTAAAAATACAAAATAAATATTTCAGAGAGGATAAAAACGAAAATGACTATTTAGATAAGTGGGGCTAAAAATATCAGTGTGCTGTAGCTTGCACATAATAATCGGTTCTAATAATCGATTTTAACTTCATCTGAATTTTCACTAGCAATTGAACACATTCTGATTTGTTTTTGACTTCGCTTCCCTAATTAATGAATTGTTTCTTCGTACATATAGTTTTTCCCCCCTCACATTAATATAAATTTGTGACCTCTAATGTGTATCTTTAATGATGAGAGCGCATTTCATGTGTGCGGCAATGTTAAGAGATAGAATGTGCGCATTTGTGTTGTAGCCGATCCTTAGGAGGCAGTGCCTCACGTTTGTAATTCTTCTCAAGTTGACATTTGTCTTTTTTGCGAGTGTACGGATGATTTTTCTTCAATCAGAAAACTGTTAATTTACCTTGATATGCAGCAACCCCCCATTATCTGATAGTCGTTAGTGAATTTCTTAATTACGAGCTTCCTCGCAGTTGGATTGGGCGCGAGTCGGACTACGACAATTGACTTCTTCCTTGGCCAACGCTCTCCCCAGCCTTAACTCGCCTTGATTTTTTTTTTATGGGCTCATATCAGATATTATATGTTCGTGTCCCCTATGCTACGTGATTTAATAGATTTACTACAAAGGATCACAACCGTATTCACTATCATTTATCATCATATATTGCAGCGAGTGAAGCAAGGATTTGACTTTAGACTTAAAGTCTGCAACACCAATAAAAGTTCACATATTGAACATTTGTCAAGGAAAAACTTGAGATCTTTCTTCATCAGAAAAGTTAGTACTTAATTCTAATGAATGACAAATGATCTTCAAGCAAAGCCTGAAACATAAATTTAGTCTGGCCATTGTATAGAAAGCTTGTAGGTTTTTCATTATGCAGTAATGTGCAATAATTACACTAAGAAACATTTTTTTTTTTTTTGCTTTCTGTTGCATTATGTTTTTGAATGAATCTTATATATTCTACGTAACACATTTCAAATTTGCAATCAGCCTCTCTCGAAAAGCTACAGTTCTTAAATGCAATTCAATAATATATTCCTTACCAGGGTGTTTTGAAGTTCATTAACATGAATACTAAGTTCGCAAAGAGTAGTTGGAAGATAGGTACGTCGCACTAGAGCTGTACAATGGGGGTATTGGTGACGGTCTGAGAAACATTCCTGAGGATGATGAGATGGCTCCCCTGCTTTGATAACCTGGAGAACTGCGCGAAGTCGAGCATTTTACTTTAGAACAGTTTGACGAGGAGCGATACCGTGCACCCTCGGTCCATACGCAGGCTGATTATAGTGGTCACCTACCAGCTTACTGACCTCAGCCAGTGCTGCTTGACTAAGGTGTTCTACTGGTGGAAACTGTGTCTTTACGATCAGCCCGCTGCTGGACGAATGGTTGGAAGAAAACGATAATACATTTCAGTTTATGATGCGATATGCTACGGTTCGTATGTTTCTTGAATTAAGTGTTATTTTCAAAGGAGCAGACAAGTGTATATATGCATGTATATAAACCTATATATTCTTTATCAACTTGTACATTCGGGCAAAAAATATACTTAACTAAAAATGCCATTTTAAAAAGAAAAATAGATGTAGCTTTCGGAACAAAACTATTTTCAGATTTGAAATGCCCATAACCGAATGAGATAAGAAAAGTATTTGTATATAAATGCAACAAATTACTTGTTCTCCAGGGTTACATATTGCTGCATGTGTGGAATATCATTTCTTATTTCGCATTTTATAGAATACCCGGTGTTTTACTTTAACGGTAACATATCTATATATAAAATATAATTAGCGAAATTACCAATTTGTGAAGTACTGCATTCTATACACTGTAAAAACTTGGATTTGAACAAGTCAAAAAATTGTGTGAAAGAACACTTTGCTTTAAGTTAACACCCAACAAAGCGAGCTTTCTTATACATTTTTAAAAGGTTTTTATTTAATCCAACCACCAATGAAGTAGAGAGCTTACACCACGCTCACGTGCACACGCGACCTTTAGAAAGAGTTTTCACTTTCTAAAACAGTACCAATTTTAGTGTTATTTCGATTAGTACACGGAGAAAACTATGGTGTACGACCCCGCTGAAATTGGTATTCAAAAGCTCCAAAAATTGTCTTAGGGAATACTTTATTTCAAGTTAATTTTAAATCGCGAGTTCATATATGTTTTAAAAGGCGTATATAAAATTTAGTTGAAAAATCTCTTTGTAAAAAACGGAGAACTAGCGACACTTATTCATAGTTTATAGTTAAATGTGGCTATAGGAATTGTTTTATTGTTCTGCATGTCAAATTTTATAGCATAAAATGATCTTGGGCAATATTTTTATTTTTTTAAACTTAACCCCTTAACGATCGGTTAATTTTCAAGAAAACGGTCATAAAAGCGCCTATTTTTTTCGCTTTTGTATTTGTATTACGTATTTGATTAGTACAGACATCTAGTTTAAAATAAACTAACTATACCTTAAAAATATCCTGGTACTGCCATCTTGAGTAAAATGTGAGATAAAATGTTTTCCGGGCAAATTAATTAGTTTTATTCTTATTGGCGCGTTACTACTGATCACTCCAGCCCGTCAATATCACGGGAGCGAGAAATAGAGGGCGAAAATTCACCCCGTCATTTTCACGGGAGCGAGAAGGAAGGGGTTAAGGTAGCTATACTTAGACATACTTCTATTTACTATTTATTCTTTTAAGGTCATCAAAAGGAGATAAAAACGACAAAAATTAACTTAAAAAATAAGCTAGACGGATGTCCTTTGTTCACATCAAATTACTGCACTCACAGTATTTGCCAAAAAATACAGTAACCGGATAGGGCGGAGCACATTATAAAGTATTATGTATCAAAGATCACTTTCTCTCCACAAAGAAAGTAGTTTGGACTTTCAAGGGTGCCAGTTGGGCAGTTTGTTCAAACTTGAATAGATATTGGTCACTACTCCTAACAAGATGCTGGGCACTACTGACAGGTGACATATTTAAAGAAAGGCAGCAACACGTATTCTTTTTGGTGTGGAATGGATATATCATTTATGATCACCATTTTAATTTGTTTTCAGGAAATTGAAAAAAAGTTAATTTTAATTAATAAATTTATGAAAAA